GGAATTGGGAAATGGAGGTCTGGGAGGGAGAGCAGCTTGCTCAGGGTCACCAGGGGCCACTGCAGCCTTCTGTCTGTTTTGTGGCCTTCGCTGAGGGCCTGGGCGGGGAGCAGTCCCCTTGTCAGGCCCAGCTCCCCACCAGGACCCTTCACAGCAGTAGTCACTGAACCGATCAATCCATCTTCATTCAGCCAAGGAGCCAGTGATAGCTTAGAAAAAATCTGCCCCTCCCACCCCCTTCTAGTAGGGAGTCAGAGTGGGGGCCACCCTGGGTAGGAGGGCTGCACGTACCTGCAGGGCTTGGGTTGAACTCCTCATCCTGTGGTCTGTGCTCCCTGGCAGCGGGCAGTGCAGTAGGAGCTAGCTTATCAGCGAGGGTTGCCACTTCAGAGAGGAAGGAAGTGATGAAAATAGCCTGCCCTATCCCCCGAATGCAGCCCCAAAGGAGTGCATATCATCTCCTCCCATCCAGAACCACAGGCCGTGGCCAGGTTATGGAGGGAAACCCACCTACCTCCAGTGCTCCATAGGCCGCAGGCCTCCATAGTGTCTGAAGGTGACTGCAGCATCCAGGACCAGGTCCCAAAGGTGGAGATGGCTTCCTGGGCCACCTGGGCCTGCAGACCTGCAAAATAGGAGCAGTAACTCCTGTCCTGCTTTGTCCTACAAGTGGGCTAGTGAGCACCCACAAGCCTGGAGGGTTTTTTTGTTGTTTTTGTCATGGGGCTTGAACTCGGCCTGGGCGCTGTGCCTGAGCTCTTTCACTCAAGGCTACTGCTCTACCACTTTGAGCCACGGCGCCACTTCTGGTTTTCTGGTGGTTTATTGAAGATGAGAGTCTTGTGGACTTTACTGCCGGGGCTGGCTTTGAACTACGATCCTCCTCAGATCTCAGCCTGCTGAGTAGCTAGGATGACAGGCGGGAGCCGCTGGTGCCTGGACAGGCTGGAATTTTAAGGACAGACAGTGAATAGAAACACACTTGTGCTATTCCACAATGCCAGAATTTGTTGAATTATAATAAGTCACATATCATATCAAGTTTTTTGTGTGTGCTAGTCCTGGAGCATTTTGAACTCAGGGCCTGAACATGGTCCCTGAGCTTTATTTTTTTGCCAGTCCTGGGGACTTAACTCAGGGCCTGGGCACTGTCCCTGAGCTTCTTTGTTCAAGGCTAGTACTCTACCACTTAAGCCACAGCTCCACTTCTGGCTTTTTCTTTTTCTTTTTCTTTTTTTTTGGGTCCGGTTGTGGGTCCTGAACTCTGGGCCTACGCACTGTCCCTCAGCTCTTCAGCTCAAGGCTAGCGCTCTACCACTTGAGCCACAGCATCACTTTTGGCTTTTTTCTTTTTGCTTATGTGGTGCTGAGGAATTGAACCCAGGGCCTCAGGCATGCAAGGCAAGCGCCCTACCACTGAGCCACCTTCCCAGCCCCAACTTCTGGCTTTTTCTGTTTATGGGTACTGAGGATTCAAACCCAGGACTTCATGCATGCTAGGCAAGCACTCTACCACTAAGCTACTTCCCAACCCCTGAGCTTTTTTGCTCAAGGCTAGTGCTCTACCACTTGAGCCAGAGCTCCACTTACAGGTTTTTGCTGGTTAGTTGGAGATAAAGGTCTCACAGACTTCCCTGCCTGGCTGGCTTTTGTCTCCTTAGTAGCTAGGATTGTAAGTGTGAGCCACCATCACCCACACTTACTAGTTTTGTTGCCCTTAAGTGTTACTGATTTCACCTGCTAGCTAGGAGCCATTAGCAAACACAGGTCTCACTATTCCAGTTTTTTATTTACTAATTATGGAACATATGGCTGAGTGGGTTAAGAAAGAGTTAGAGAGGCTGCAGAGGTCAGAGCATTGTAGGGAAGGCACTAAGAGGTAATAAAAGCATTAAAAAAAAAAATCAAGACAAAAACACCCAAAACCCAAGGAGACTTCTCTATAGGGCCTGGAAAGAAGTTTTATGAACCTCTGGTATAAAGCTGTTGTGACCACAGCTTTTGGGAGCAGGTCTAAGTGGCAGAGCAGTTCCTCATCAGAAGTCTGCATGGCAAGTAGGAGAAGCTGGTTCAGCTGGAGTCCAGGGTAGAAGCAGGGCCTTTGCTGTGTGGTTCTCCCTGAGTGATGGATGGTGTGATGCGTGATGGGTTGGTGGGCCAGGTGCCTGACAGTCTCAGGGCTGTGTTGTCTCTCAGATGAGGGGCTTACAGCCAGTGTGACTTACAAGTTTATGTGTGTGGCGTTTCCAATATGATTTGGTATAATTTACAAATATAATTGTTTATTGTCAGAAATAAACAACCAGTTTGTGCCTCATATTGTGCTGGCAGGTGGTGGTTGATTAGTTGTATAAACAAGATGTAAATTTATTCTGTCTTGCCACTAATGCTCAAAATGGAGTAGCTTTGGTCAACAGTGTTGCTTTATAAAATGGAGTGACACAAGGCTAGACAGTTTGCTCTCAACATTTTTAGTTTTCCTCAGTTGCCCTGAACAGGCCAAACAGAGTCTCTTTCTGGTGCCCTGGTACCTTTCCTCATGCTCCCTGATCTTTTTCTCTCTCTCCCTCCCCTCTCCTCTCTCTTTTTCTTTCTTTCTCTCAGTTGTGGGGCTTGAACTCTGGGCCTGGGCGTTGTCCCTCAGCTCTTATGCTCAAGGCTAGTGCTCTACCACTTGAACCACAGTCCCACTTCTGGTTTTCTGTTGGTTTATTGGAGATAAGAGTCTCAAGGACTTTCCTGACCGGGCTGGCTTTGAACTGTGATCCTCAGATCTCAGCCTCCTGAGTAGCTAGGATGACTGGTGCCACCGGCACCCAGCTTTGATACTTTCTAATGAAAAGCTGCAGACCTAAGCTCAGAACCTCTGCCAGGAGTTAGCGGCTAGCTGGGACTTAAGATCACTGTTTTATTTGCATCTTACTTTAATGACTACCTTCTACTTAGGGAAATGATGTCCTTTTCCTTTTCAGTCATACGATGTTCCCTTTAAACATAAATACATTTATTTTTACTTACACTATATCTTTAGTATATTAGTAAAAATGAAGTATAAGAGTTTATAACATTAGAACATTAATGCTTACATTTTAAAATGTCATGAAGGTGGTAAAATTTGCACACAGACAGAATACATGGCTGGTGAATTCTGGGCACCCCTGGGGTGTTGAGAGGCCTTGGGTTCATGTAGGTGTTATTCTAGCATCGTGAATAAAGAGAGTCCTTAACCAGAAAGGCCAGGCTCTGGGGCTCTTAGAACTTTGGAGAACAAGATAGGCCACTGAGGAGAGGAAGAGGTCTTCCAACTAGGCCTGTGGTTACAGCTGGTGTTGGCCAAGGGTGTCAGACCCAAGAAGAGGGTCTGGGCTTCTGTCCTGGAGGGCTCAGAAAGGGTTAGGGATGGCAAGAGAAACTGAGGCTGGCAGCGGCAACCTTGCCACTCAAGGTCACACTGCTCACAGGGCCAGAGAGCCCGCAGGGTGGCAGCCTGGCAGGAAAAGTCAGGGGCTGAAGGTGTTCAGGTGGTTAGTTCGCTGCCTGCCCACTCCTTGCTGGGTTTCCCTCAAGGCTTTGTTGTAAATACTCTTTTGATGGGTGTGTGTGAAGGGGGGGGGTGAGGGAGAGAAAGCGAGTCAAAGAGCCTGGGTCTTAGCCCTGGGGCTGGAGGCTGTCAGTAGCCTCACAGCCTGAGGAGCCTCGGCCCGGGGCGGCCCAGCTCCTGGGGGAGGGGGGTGGCCCTGGAGACCTGAATGCCGGGAATTCTTGCAGCTGAAGCTCCGCCCTGCCCGCAGGCCCTGTCCGGTCCCAACCGCCCTGCGCGCGGCGCCGGGTCCGCCTCCTCCCCAGGGCCGCAAGTCCTGGCCCAAAGCCCACGGTCGTGGGCACGGCCCCGCGCGGAGGGCCGCGGGCGGCGTGGGCACGGCCCCGCGCGGAGGGCCGCGGGCGGCGTGGGCACGGCCCCGCGCGGAGGGCCGCGGGCGGCGTGGGCACGGCCCCGCGCGGAGGGCGGAGGTGGGCGTGGGCACGGCCCCGCGCGGAGGGCGGAGGTGGGCGTGGGCACGGCCCCGCGCGGTGGGCGGAGGGGGGCGTGGGCACGGCCCCGCGTGGAGGGCCGCGGGCGGCGTGGGCACGGCCCCGCGGGGAGGGCCGCGGGCGGCGTGGGCACGGCCCCGCGCGGAGGGCCGCGGGCGGCGTGGGCACGGCCCCGCGCGGAGGGCCGCGGGCGGCGTGGGCACGGCCCCGCGCGGAGGGCCGCGGGCGGCGTGGGCACGGCCCCGCGGGGAGGGCCGCGGGCGGCGTGGGCACGGCCCCGCGCGGAGGGCCGCGGGCGGCGTGGGCACGGCCCCGCGCGGAGGGCGGAGGGGGGCGTGGGCACGGCCCCGCGTGGAGGGCCGCGGGCGGCGTGGGCACGGCCCCGCGCGGAGGGCGGAGGGGGGCGTGGGCACGGCCCCGCGCGGTGGGCGGAGGGGGGCGTGGGCACGGCCCCGCGCGGAGGGCCGCGGGCGGCGTGGGCACGGCCCCGCGCGGAGGGCCGCGGGCGGCGTGGGCACGGCCCCGCGGGGAGGGCCGCGGGCGGCGTGGGCACGGCCCCGCGCGGAGGGCGGAGGTGGGCGTGGGCACGGCCCCGCGTGGAGGGCCGCGGGCGGCGTGGGCACGGCCCCGCGTGGAGGGCCGCGGGCGGCGTGGGCACGGCCCCGCGCGGAGGGCCGCGGGCGGCGTGGGCACGGCCCCGCGGGGAGGGCCGCGGGCGGCGTGGGCACGGCCCCGCGGGGAGGGCCGCGGGCGGCGTGGGCACGGCCCCGCGGGGAGGGCGGAGGTGGGCGTGGGCACGGCCCCGCGTGGAGGGCCGCGGGCGGCGTGGGCACGGCCCCGCGGGGAGGGCCGCGGGCGGCGTGGGCACGGCCCCGCGCGGAGGGCTGTGCAGCAACTGGTGCTAAGACCCCACCCATCCCCTTCTGGCTCAGGAGGCAGCAGGACTGGCGCGAAGACGGCGGCGGGGGATGAGGGGGGGTCGGCCGTCGTTGGGGCGGAGACCTCCCGCGGGCGCTAGCCCAGCCCGGCGGCCGGCAGCCCGGCCTGGCTCTCCGCGCCGAGGCCCGGGGCGCGGCTCCAGCCCCGGCGTGCGCACCGGCCTCCGGGACGGGTTCCCCGCCGCGCTCTCCACGCAGACCTGGGCCAGGGCCGCCAAGCGCGCACCTCCGGTCCCTCCTCAGATCCCCGCCCGGCTGCCCGCCACCTCCACCGGAGGCCCGGGCGGTCCACCGAAGGCGGGGCGGAGCCTGCCCCCTTAGCCCCGCCCCTCAGCAAGCCTCCGCGTATCCGCGTCCCGCCCCGCCCCTGCGTCCCGCCCCGTCCCCGCGGAGCTGGCTGGGCGGGGACGCCGCGCCCTCGGCGCCCGGCCCTCAGCGTCCGGACCCGGACTCGGCGCCTTCGTGAGGCGCAGCTCTGCTCGGCTTCTCCCTGCCGTTCCTAGAGTCAGCCGCCGGCTTCCTGACGAGAACCAGGCAGAATCACCGAGCGGACGTGTGGACCCCGAGCGGACGTGTGGACCCCGAGCGGACGTGTGGACCCCGAGCGGACGTGTGGGACAGGACCCCGAGTGGAAGTGTGGACCCTGAGTGGACGTGTGGGACAGGACCCCGAGCGGACGTGTGGGACAGGACCCCGAGTGGAAGTGTGGACCCTGAGTGGACGTGTGGGACAGGACCCCGAGCGGACGTGTGGGACAGGACCCCGAGCGGACGTGTGGACCCCGAGCGGACGTGTGGACCCCGAGCGGACGTGTGGGACAGGACCCCGAGTGGACGTGTGGACCCTGAGTGGACGTGTGGACCCTGAGTGGACGTGTGGACCCTGAGCGGACGTGTGGGACAGGACCCCAAGTGGAAGTGTGGACCCTGAGTGGACGTGTGGACCCTGAGCGGATGTGTGGGACAGGACCCCAAGTGGAAGTGTGGACCCTGAGTGGACGTGTGGACCCTGAGTGGACGTGTGGACCCCGAGTGGACGTGTGGACCCTGAGTGGACGTGTGGGACAGGACCCCAAGTGGAAGTGTGGACCCTGAGTGGACGTGTGGACCCTGAGTGGACGTGTGGACCCCGAGTGGAAGTGTGGACCCTGAGTGGACGTGTGGACCCCGAGCGGATGTGTGGGACAGGACCCCAAGTGGAAGTGTGGACCCTGAGTGGACGTGTGGACCCTGAGTGGACGTGTGGACCCCGAGTGGACGTGTGGACCCTGAGTGGACGTGTGGGACAGGACCCCAAGTGGAAGTGTGGACCCTGAGTGGACGTGTGGACCCTGAGTGGACGTGTGGACCCCGAGTGGACGTGTGGACCCTGAGTGGACGTGTGGACCCCGAGCGGATGTGTGGGACAGGACCCCAAGTGGAAGTGTGGACCCTGAGTGGACGTGTGGACCCTGAGTGGACGTGTGGACCCCGAGTGGACGTGTGGGACAGGACCCCGAGTGGACGTGTGGACCCCGAGTGGACGTGTGGACCCTGAGTGGACGTGTGGACCCCGAGCGGACGTGTGGGACAGGACCCCAAGTGGAAGTGTGGACCCCGAGCGGACGTGTGGACCCCGAGTGGACGTGTGGGACAGGACCCCAAGTGGAAGTGTGGACCCCGAGCGGACGTGTGGACCCCGAGTGGACGTGTGGGACAGGACCCCAAGTGGAAGTGTGGACCCCGAGCGGACGTGTGGACCCCGAGCGGACGTGTGGGACAGGACCCCAAGTGGAAGTGTGGACCCCGAGCGGACGTGTGGGACAGGACCCCGAGTGGACGTGTGGACCCCGAGTGGATGTGTGGGACAGGACCCCAAGTGGAAGTGTGGACCCCGAGCGGACGTGTGGGACAGGACCCCGAGTGGATGTGTGGGACAGGACCCCGAGTGGATGTGTGGGACAGGACCCCAAGTGGAAGTGTGGACCCCGAGTGGAGGTGTGGGACAGGACCCCGAGTGGATGTGTGGGACAGGACCCCAAGTGGAAGTGTGGACCCCGAGTGGAGGTGTGGGACAGGACCCCGAGTGGATGTGTGGGACAGGACCCCGAGTGGATGTGTGGGACAGGACCCCGAGTGGAAGTGTGGGACAGGACCCCGAGTGGATGTGTGGGACAGGACCCCAAGTGGAAGTGTGGACCCCGAGTGGAGGTGTGGGACAGCACCCCGAGTGGAGGTGTGGGACAGGACACCGAGTGGACGTGTGGGACAGGACCCCGAGTGGATGTGTGGGACAGGACCCCAAGTGGAAGTGTGGACCCCGAGTGGAGGTGTGGGACAGGACCCCGAGTGGATGTGTGGGACAGGACACCGAGTGGACGTGTGGGACAGGACCCTGAGTGGACGTGTGGACCCCAAGTGGAGGTGTGTGACAGGACCCCGAGTGGACGTGTGGGACAGGACCCCGAGTGGATGTGTGGGACAGGACCCCAAGTGGAAGTGTGGACCCCAAGTGGAGGTGTGGGACAGGACCCCGAGTGGACGTGTGGGACAGGACCCCGAGTGGATGTGTGGGACAGGACCCCGAGTGGATGTGTGGGACAGGACCCCAAGTGGAAGTGTGGACCCCGAGTGGAGGTGTGGGACAGGACCCCGAGTGGACGTGTGGGACAGGACCCCGAGTGGACGTGTGGGGCAGGACCCCGAGTGGATGTGTGGGACAGGACCCCGAGTGGAGGTGTGGACCCCGAGTGGAGGTGTGGGACAGGACCCCGAGTGGACGTGTGGGACAGGACCCCGAGTGGATGTGTGGGACAGGACCCCGAGTGGACGTGTGGACCCCAAGTGGAGGTGTGGGATAGGACCCCGAGTGGAGGTGTGGGACAGGACCCCGGGTGGACGTGTGGACCCCGAGTGGAGGTGTGGGACAGGACCCCGAGTGGAGGTGTGGATCCCGAGTGGACGTGTGGGACAGGACCCCGAGTGGAGGTGTGGACCCCGAGTGGACAAGTGGGACAGGACCCCGAGTAGGTGTCTGCATTGTTCACCCCATGCCTTACCTTGGCCAGTGTGCACTCAGACTTCAATTCTCTGGGTCAATGTTTAGGCCAAGAAGCTGCCGTGTGGCCACATTTTGGAGGTTCCGGAAGATGAACAAAACCTGTTCAGTAGTCTAATAATGGTTTTTTATTTCTCTGTCTTTGGAATGTTACCCAGTTAAGATGGAGCAAGAAGCAGATTCAGCTGTCCTTTCTCTAAGATGGGCTTACCTTGTAAGTAATTCTGATTTTAAGTGTTCAATCCTTCCATCTGAAAAGCACTAAACTTTCATTTCTTCTGCCATACTACTCCAGAATCAAACATGTTGTCCATTTGACAAATTTCTATTCATTCTTGAACACTTTTGCTTACCTAATCTCAAACCATTTGGTCAATTTGTTTTTTCGCTCAGTCCTGGGGCTTGAACTCTGAGTCTGGGTGCTGTCCCTGTGCTCTTCAGCTCAAGGCCAGCACTCTACCGCTTGAACCATAGCACCACTTCCAGTTTTCTAGTGGTTTATTGGAGATAAGAGTCTCATGGACTTTCCTGCCTGGGCTGGCTTTGAACCGTGATCCTCAGATCTCAGCCTCCTGAGTAGCTAGGATTACAGGCGTGAGCCACCAGCACTGGCTAGGGCATTTTTTTTTTGTGTGTGTGTCGGTCGTGGGGCTTGAACTCTGGGCTTGGGCACTGTCCCTGTGCTCTTCAGTCAAGGCAAGTGCTCTACCGCTTGAGCCACAGAGCCACTTCCAGTTTTCTAGTGGTTTATTAGATAAGAGTGTCACGGACGTTCCTGCCCTGGCTGGCTTTGAACTGCCATTCTCATATCTCAGCCTCCTGAGTAACTAGGATTACAGGTGTGAGCCACCAGCACCTGGCTAGGGCAATTTTTTTTTTTTTTTGGTCTGATCATGGGCCTGAACTCTGGGCCTGCGCGCTGTCCCTCAGCCCTTCAGCTCAAGGCTACCACTTGAGCCACAGCGCCACTTCCGGCTTTTTTTTTTTTTCTGCTTATGGGGTGCTGAGGAATCAAACCCAGGGCCTCATTCATGCAAGGCAAGCGCTCTACCACTGAGCCACCTTCCCAGCCCCATAGGGCAATTTTTTTAAAGGTGTTTTTGTTTTGTTTTGGTTTGGTTTTAGATCCTAGGGCTTGAACTTGGGGCACTGTCCTTGAGCTTCTGCTCAAGGCTAGGGTTTTACCACTTGAGTCACACCATCACTTCTGGCTTTTTCTGAGTAGTTTATTGGAAATGAGAGTCTCAGGGACTTACTGCCCAGACTTCCAACTATGATCCTCAGATCTTCCTGAATAGCTAAAATTACAAGCTAGAGTCACTAGCACATGGAAAGGTTTATTTCTTTTCTTTTCTTTTTTTCTTTGGGGTCCGGTCGTGGGGACTGAACTCTGGGACTGGGCGCTGTTCCTCAGCTCTTCAGCTCAAGGCTAGCGCTCTACAACTTGAGCCACAGTGCCACTTCTGGCTTTTTTCTTTTTGCTTATGTGGTGCTGAGGAATCGAACCCAGGGCCTCAGGCATGCAAGGCAAGCGCTCTACCACTGAGCCACCTTCCCAGCCCGGAAAGGTTTATTTCTGAATAATAAAAATAATGGCAATTTGACAAAAAGTTTTACAATTCCACTTTTTGGCTTCTACCTTAGAAAAAGCTATTTACTAAGGAGATTCACTGCACTATTGTTTATACTAGTGAGAAACTGCTATGCATGGGATATCAGGCAGGACAAATCAGCAAATGAGGAGAGTGAATGAAGCTGGAGCATATATGTAAGTGTTGACACACACTAACAATAACAGTGCACAAAACATTACTGTCTTCTTTAAAGACACATGTATAGAAATACATAGAAGATGAATGCATTCACAAATAATTTGATGGTCATCTCTGGGGACAGGAGACCTTTAGACCTGCTCACCCAGATATATAACTCAGACCCTTCACCTCCTTCAAGTTCTATGCTTCAATTTCTCTAATTTCCATGAGGACCAATAGTACCCAGCTTTAGCTTCTGCTTTGTCTGTCTCCTGTATTAAACTGGCCGACAAGGTGAGGGATGTTTCCTCTTCTGGTCACCTGAAACTGCAACTCTTTTGGTACATGGAGAGAAACTTGGGCTTGTATCCCAGCCTCCTCACAGTTGCCATTGTAGATGGCATTTTCTCTGCAGATATCTTTATTGATGTGGGGTTAAAAAAGCAGTCTTTGTTGCCATATTATCTGTGAGCCTTACGCAAGGTCCAGCTACACGCGGTTGGGGATCTTGATGCACAAAGTAGACATTAATCTCTTTGTAGATTTCTATGGACATACTTTTGTGGATGTAAGCCCCCAGAGAAAACTATCTGTAGTAAACATTGGTGGGAATTGAAGGTCCTCTGGCCCAGAGACTCAAGAGCTCCCACTGGACTGTGGAAGCCTCTAGGCTGGATGCCTTGTGATGGGGCCTGAGGTGTGCGTTTAGAGCAAGACTCTGCAGCTTGACTCTATGTCAAATCACATTTCAGCAGAGGAGCCTCAGCCAATGATGTAGTATATACTGGTTACCCTCTCCCATGCAGCTTACTACTTTCCAGGATCAGTCAATGCTGAAAAGAAAGCTTTCTCTATCTGTCTATGGAGTCATTGCCTGGTCTCTGCTCCCCCATGGCTCGGGGAGGCAAGGGTTTATAATGGTGTGCTGTCAGACTTGTTTGTCTGTGGGTCGTGTTACTAGGCACCTCTGAAAGAATTCCATTTAGCTATACAAGGTTTTGTTTGAGGTTCAAAGTAAGCAAACTTAGAAACCTCTGTGTCCCTTTGTAGGAGAAGGGGTAGGGCCACTCTGTGGGCAGAGTCTGTAACCCTTTGTATGAGATGGGATGGGGCAACTGTGGTCAGTCATGGTCCTGGCTACTTTTTGAAGTCACTTCAGTGTTGTCTGAGTTACTTCCAACTGTCTGTTGTTCAAATTGCTGTTATAAAGTCTGGAAAATGCTAAGAAGCATAAACTATCCACTATCCTGATATGAAGATGAGAGTTGTGTTTCTGATAGGTTTATTTACAGAGTCTCAGTGTACTGGGGCACGAAGGAGCTTTCTGGGATCATGAAAATACTTAATATCATTGGTGTTGATTCCACAACTGAATGCACTTGTCAAAACCTAAAGGGCAAGTTTTAGGTATGTAAATCGTACCTCATCCCACTTAACATAAGAATCCGTGTGGGCACTCAGCTTCATAAACAGCCGTGCCAGCATTAGTGCTTTCTTATGGAAGTGGCTCTGAGGCTACTCCACACTCCCTCTACTGCACTGGGTTCACAAGGAGGTAGCTTTCAGTGTTCCTTCATTAAGACAGTACTGAGAATGGTGTAGTCTAGATGCTGGGTGCTTTGCTAGTGGGACAAGAACTTGATACTGGCAAGTTTTTTTCATGAAGTTGCATCATTCTGTCATTCTCTGTGTATATATGTTTTGTTGGATAATCTAGAGTGTCCTTAAGACATTATTTTCATTGCTATAAAGCTTTTAGGTTTTTAGGATGCTTGGTTTTTAGATCTATTTAGTATTGAGGCATCCATTTTTACTTCTTTCTATTAAAAGGGGGGTTAGGATGGTGATTTACTTAGAGGGACAAGGTTTGCCTAGCATAGGCAAGGCCTGTTTTTTTTTTTTTTTTTTTTTGGGTCTGGCTGTGGGGCCTGAACTCTGGGCCTGGGCACTGTCCCTCAGCTCTTCAGCTCAAGGCTAGCGCTCTACCACTTGAGCCGCAGTGCCATTTCCGGCTTTTTTCTTTTTTGCTTATGTGGTGCTGAGGAATTGAACCCAGGGCCTCATGCATGCAAGGCAAGCGCTCTACCACTGAGCCACCTTCCCAGTCCGGGTTAATTGTTATTAGTGTTAAAGCAAAATAAGAATAAAGAGGGCATACAACTAGGAAAACATTCCTAAAGTACAATATCTAATGAATTGAACAGTTTGAGCCTCATTAAAGTCCAAAACTATTATACTTCAAAGGACAGAATGAAGAAAATGGTGAATGCATGGTAGGTGTTCATAATTTTACCACTCAGGTGGCTGAAGCAGGATTTTGAGGGACAGTAAGTGTGTGTGTGTGGAAAAAATGAGACTGATAAGCTGGGTGCTGGTGGTTCAAGCATGTAATCCTAGCTACGCAGGGGGCTGAGATCTGAGGATCGCAGTTCAAAACCAGCTCGTGCAGGAAAGTCCATGAGACTCTTATCTCCAATAAACCACTAGAAAACCGAAAGTGGCGCTGTCACTGAAGCATAGAGCACTAGCCTTGAGCTGAAGAGCACAGGGACAGCACCCAAGCCCAGAGTTCAAGCCCCACAACCAAAAAAAAAAAAAAGAGACTGATAAAGGGCTGTATTCAGAGTTTATAATTCTTGTAACTTATGAATTTCTTATATACAAGGAAATGTAAAATTGAATTAAAAAGTGGGCAAAGGTAAGAGATTTCATCAAATACTAAATGGATTCTCACCAGGCTCACAAAAGATCTCAGTATCATTGATCATTAAGGAAATGCAAAATAAAACCACAGTGAAAAATACTACATCACCCATGAAAGTGGCTATAAAATGGCCATTAATGAAGAAGTAGGAACCCTCACATACCTTAGATGGCAATGTACAATGAAACAGTTCCTTTGAAAGACAGTTTGTCATGTTCTTAAAAAGTCAACCATAAAACTATTGTAAAAACCAGCGATTCTTTGTTTGTTTGTTTGTTTGCTGGTCATGGGGCCTGAACTCTGGGCCTGGGCACTGTCCCTCAGCTCTTCAGCTCAAGGCAAGCGCTCTACCGCTTGAGCTACAGCGCCACTGCTGGTTTTCTAGTGGTTTATTGGAGATAAGAGTCTCATGGACTTTCCTGCCCGGGCTGGCTTTGAACCGTGATCCTCAGATCTCAGTCTCCTGAGTAGCTAGGATTATAGGCGTGAGCCACCGGTGCCTGGCAAAATTTCCTTAAATGTGTTTAGGCCCAAGTTAATGCCCACATGTGCAGCAGCAGAAGTGATACTCAGAAACATACTGTTCAGAGCCCTTCCCTGAGCTATGATACATGTAATACATTTTGTATCAACCCTTTTATATGTAATGTCCAGAAAGGAAAGGTTTTAGGCAGAGGACAGATTAGTACTTGCCTAGGAAGTATGAACAGAGATTAACTATTAATTATATGAGAAGTATCGTGTTATAGAGATAAAAAATGCTCTAAAACTAATTTATGATGATAATTATACCACTTGGTAAAGTTTCTGAAATCACTGAATTCTTACATCAAAATGAATGTGTTTTATCTATGCATTATTATTTTTTTGTTTTTGTTTGTTTTTTGGGTCCAGTTGTGGGGCCTGAACTCTGGGCCTGGGCACTGTCCCTCAGCTCTTCAGCTCAAGGCTAGCGCTCTACCACTTGAGCCACAGCACCGCTTCCGGCTTTTTTCTGCTTATATGGTGCTGAGGAATTGAACCCAGGGCTTCAGGCATGCAAGGCAAGCGCTCTACCACTGAGCCACCTTCCCAGCCCCTATCTATGCATTATTTATTTATTTATACCCCATTGAAAAAGGGTGGCACTGTTTTGGCTAAGATTGGTACGTAGCTGTTCTCTAAAGTGCTTTCAACTGCTGGTGTCTTTTTTTTTTTTTTACTGGTCATGGGGCCTTAACTCTGGGCCTGGGCACTGTCCCTCAGCTCTTCAGCTCAAGGGGAGCACTCTACCACTTGAGCCACAACGCCACTTCCGGTTTTCTAGTGGTTTATTGGAGGTAAGAGTCTCACAGACTTACCTGCCTGGGCTGGCTTTGAACCGTGATCCTCAGGTCTCTTCCTTCCGAGTAGCTAGGATTATAGGCATGAGCCACTAGTGCCTGGCTTTGATTGTTTTTTGTTTTTTGCGTTTACCGGTCTTGGGGCCTGGACGCTGTCCCTTAGCTCTTCAGCTCAAGGCTAGTGCTCTAGCTCTTGAGCCACAGTGCCACTTCTGGCTTTTTCTGCTTATGTGGTGCTGAGGAATTGAACCCAGGGCCTCATGCATGCAAGGCAAGCACTCTACCACTGAGCCACCTTCACAGCCCTCTACTGGTATCTTGTAATGGCTTCACAAAGCCTCTGCCAGCCCTGTGACACTTAGCAAATTCCCATTTGGGAGGAAGAATGAAGCAAAGTCAGGCTATGAGGGACTTCAGCTCTGGGTTTGTAGATGTTTGTCCTTTTGCAGTGTGCCTTGGCCCACCCCCTTCTGCAGAGAGCCTGGTTTCTTTTTTTTTTTTTTGGTCAGCCGTGGGGCTTGAACTCTGGGCCTGGGCGCTGTCCTTCAGCTCTTCAGCTCAAGGCGAGCGCTCTACACTTGAGCTACAGCGCCACTTCCGGTTTTCTGGTGGTTTATTGGAGATAGGAGTCTCACGGTCTCTCCTGCCCGGGCTGGCTTTGAACCGCGATCCTCAGATCTCAGCCTCCTGAGTAGCTAGGATTACAGGCGTGAGCCACCAGCGCCCGGCGTGCCTGGTTTCTTTAGCTTTGTGAATCTGGGTACATTGTGGCTTGCCTACTGTGCTTTCATGGGTTCTACAGAGGAGTCCAAGCGTTGGCATCCGGAGTCTAGATTTCAAGCCAGTGCTGCTGCACAGGCATTGTTTAACCTTGAACCACTTTAAACTTCACTTCTCTAAGCCCAATTTCTCTTGTTTGAGTTGGGTCTTGTGATAAATTCAGGTCGAGACACAAGTAGAAAATATAACAAGATTATGTTTGGGTGTGCATGTATCTGAGTATGGCGAGACCACTACTTCCTTGAAATTTATTAAAGAATGGGTGGGGTGGCTGGAAGCCAATGGCTCAAGCCTGTAATCCTAGCTACTCAGGAGGCTGAGATCTGAGGATTGAGGTTCAAAGCCAGCCTGGGAAGGAAAGTCCGTGAGACTCTTATCTCCAATAAACCACCAGAAAACCGGAAGTGGCGCTGTGGCTGAAAGTGGTAGAGCACTAGCCTTGAGCTGAGGAGTTCAGGGACCTCACCCAGGCCCAGAGTTCAAGCCCCACGACTGACCAAAAAAAAAAAAGGGCTGTAGTTGTGGCTGAAGTTGTAGAGCACCTTCCCAGCAAGCAGAAAGTACTGAGTTCAAACTCTAGTTTTACACACATACACATATACAATAACAAGCATCACACACATATATATGTATACACACACACACACACACACATACATACACACAAATAAAATAAGCAATGAGAAATAAATGAGCTGTAGGGAGGGCCTCCTGCCTCCACAGTACAGGTCCAAACCAGCTGCACGACAGGTGCTTTTATCCAGAGTAAGAATGTCTTAAAGATAGAACGAATCAGTGAATGAAGGAAGTGGCTTCAGATACACCTGTGTGCAGAGTTCATTTTTGTGCTGCAGCTGGCAGGAGCCTTGGCATCAGGAGGGAGGTCTAGAGCCCCAACAGCCCAGTCCTGGGTTTCCTGGCAACAGTGAAACAAAGCCAGAGGATTCCCTGCCTTCCATGTTCTGAGTAAGCCCCAGGTGAGGAGGAGCGTGTGCTGCTAAGCTGGGGCTGAGTGTCCTCTGCCACTCACCCACAGCTCCACTTCTGGTGGTGGTTCACTGGAGACCTTCCTGTCTAGGCTGACTTTGAACTGAAATCCTCAGATCTCAGCCTCCTGAGTATCTAGAATTATAGGCATGAGCCACTGGTGCCAGACTAACTCCTGACTTGTGAAAGAAGAGGCAGCTAGAGAAATAAGATGCCAGCTGCCATGTCAGTGGTTATTTCACCCATTCATTCCCCAAGTATGTTGAACCCTGGAATCTAAGACTAGCAGTGACTCAGGTCTAGGCAGTTCAGAGGGTGAGGCAGAGCAGGGCGTGGAAGTGGTCTTCCTATAGGAGACAGGGCTCACTCCTGGGGCAGATGGTGATGGAGTCTTCTCTTTCTCTCAGGCAGGACTGCCAGTCTGGTGGACACTCTGCAGGTATGTCTCTGCAGGCTTGGGAGTGGGAAGAAGATGAGGATCAGGGAAGCATGGAACCCATCTCTCCTCTGGCAAGTTTTTACAAGTCTCTGAGTGACTGCGATGTGGAAGAATACCTCAGGGCCAAGGCCAGAGCCCAGGAGTCAGATTCTGATGACCACTTCAGTATGGACTCCTCATTCAAGACCGCCAGCACCTTTGACTCAGACGCACCCCAGGTCGTCCCCTGCAAATTCGTTATTTCGCTTGCTTTCCCAGCAAATGCAGGTAGGTGCCTCGGCAGAATTCCAGAATTCTCTCCCAGAAAGACAGCATTACTGACTTCCTCCTGGGAGTCTTCAGCCACATATGCCTGGTATCTTTCCTCACTGACCGTTATATCCCTAATAATACACTTGCTTCTTCTTTCTCTTTCCTTCCCTCCTTCCTTTTTTTTATTTTTGTTTTTTTTTTGGGTCTGTTGGTGGGCCTGAATTCTGGGCCTGGGCGCTGTCCCTCAGCTCTTCAACTCAAGGCTAGCGCTCTACCACTTGAGCCACAGTGCCACTTCCGGCTTTTTTCCTTTTTGCTTATGTGGTGCTGAGGAATCGAACCCAGGGCCTCATGCATGCAAGGCAAGCGCTCTACCACTGAGCCACCTACCCAGGTCTCCCTCCTCCTTCCTTTGTTCCTTCCTTTGTTCCCTCCTTCCTTCCTTCCCTCCCTCCCTCCCTCCTTCCTCTCTTTTCTTTCCTTTCTTTCCTTCCTTCTTTCCTTCCTTCCTTCCTTCCTTCCTTCCTTCCTTCCTTCCTTCCTTCCTTCCTTCCTTTCTCTCTTTCCTTCTTTCCTTTCTTTTTCCTTCCTTCCTTTCTTTTCTTCTTTCTTTCTTTCTTTTTTTCTTTCCTTCCTTCTTTCTTCTTTCTTTTTTTTTGTGCTAGAACTAATATTGGAACCCAAGCCTTGTTCTTTCTAGGCAGGAGCTATGCCACTGAGTCATGCCCTTTTCATTTTTTGCTTTATTTTTCAGTTAGGGTTCATTTTTTCCCCTGGGGTTGAGTTCAGACCATGTTTTCCCTACATATGCCTCCATATAACTAGATGTGTGCTAACACACCTGGCTTATTTGTTGAGATGGGACTTTTTGTTGAGGCTAGCCTCGAACTATGATTCTGATCTGCACTCAAGTAGTTGGGTTATGATGTGAATTACTAGCCCTGTCCCTTGAGATTTTCTTTTCTTATTTTGGTACTCCTTCAAAAGGCATCTGAAGAATTTATCTTCAAAACCTTGCGAAATCTTTGACATACCTTTGTCTGGAAATAAAATTCTAGGTTCCATTATTTCCCTTCAATACTTAAATATTTATAGTAAGTATATAAATATTTATATGTTATTTAAGAAAAATTAGAGCCGGGTGCTGGTGGCTCACAACCTGTCATCCTAGCTACTGAGGAGGATGAGATCTGAGGATCATGGTTCAAAGCCAGCCCGGGCAGAAAAGTCCGTGAGACTCTTATCTCCAATAAACCACTCGAAAACTGGAAGTGGCACTGTGGCTCAGGCGGTAGAGCTCTTGCCTTGAACCGAAGAGTGCAGGGATAGCGCCCAAGCCCAGAGTTCAAGCCCCATGACTGACCAAAAAAAAAAGAAAAGAGAAAGAAAAATTAGGTCCCACATGGTCTATTCTACAACTTTCATTTTTTTTTTTTTGGTTGGTTGTGGGGCTTGAACTCTGGGCCTGGGCACTGTCCCTGCACTCTTCAGCTCGAGGCAAGTGCTCTACTGCCTGATCCACGGTGCCACTTCCGGTTTTCGAGTAGTTTATTGGAGATGAGTGTCACGGACTTTCCTGCCCAGGCTGGTGTTGAACCATAATTCTCAGATCTCAGCCATCTGAGTAGCTAGGATGATAGGCGTGAGCCACTGGCACCCAGCTAACTTTCATATTTTAAAAAATTGACAACTCAAAATCTTAGAGGTGTCGGGCGCCGGTGGCTCATGCCTGTCAGGAGGCTGAGATCTGAAGATTGTGGTTCAAAGCCAGCCCAGGCAGGAAAGTCCGTGAGACTCTTTTTTTTTTTTTTTTAAATTGTGAAAATACTATACAGAGGGGTTACAATTACACGGGCAAGGTAATGAGTACATTTCTTTCTTTTTTTTTTTTGGGGGGGGGGGTCTGGTTGTGGGGCCTGAACTCTGGGCCTGGGCACTGTCCCTCAGCTCTTCAGCTCAAGGCTAGGGCTCTACCACTTGAGCTACAGCGCCACTTCCGGCTCTTTTCTTTTTGCTTATGTGGTGCTGAGGAATCGAACCCAGGGCCTCATGCATGCAAGGCAAGCGCTCTACCACTGAGCCACCTTCCCAGCCCAATGAGTACATTTCTTATCAAGCATTGTTGCCTCCTCCTTTGTTTCCCCTTCTCATCCCTTCCCATCCCACCCACCCCAAGTCTGTGAAACTCTTATTTCCAATAAACCACCAGAAAACCAGAAGTGGTGCTGTAGCTCAAGTGGTAGAGCGCTCGCCTTGAGCTGAAGAGCTGAGGTTTGCAAAGGTGCAGTGCAGTAGTAGTACAGTTGCCTTGAATGTGCAAGGCCCTGTATTCCATCTCCATCATTAGAAAGAACAAAAGACTGTGAAAAGCGCAGGGAAATCACTCTCCCCAGTGCCCTCTGTAATGCCTTCTGTGAGAGTGCAGCCTACTTCTGCCCCTAGTGCCCTCACTTCCTTCTACTAGGCTCTGCCCAGAATGGTTCCACCCTTCCCAGCAGCATCTCAAGCTGGGCACTGAGCCCTTAGTTGTGAACTTGGGGACATTTTCAAACCATAGTGTTCTTTCTTGCCTCTAGGAGTCTGTGGAGACAAGTCTGCTTTTCTATACAAGATTAGAATGAGACTCATTAAATCTGTATTTTTTAGGTCAAAAAGGAAAATACACAAATTTTACTGATAAACATAAGAAACACTCTAAACCGGACAATCGTACTACAAAAGCTCGCCGTTTCTATCACATTGAGTATGTCTTCCTGCCCGATGATGGAGAACCAAAAAAAGTTGATGTAGTGGTATTTCCAGGAGTTGCCAAAGTGTTCCTGGAGTCAGTAGTAAAGGTGCGTGGTGTCTGTCAGACTGTGTACAGAATGGAGTAGTCACAATATTGCTGTGAGTGTTCTGCTGCACAGGCAGCCTCAGAACTGGCTAAAGCGCAGGGTCCTGGGGCCACCTCAGACCTCCTGAGTGAGAATCTGAGGTCATCAAAAAATACTGGTTGCCAGGTGCTGGTGGCTCATGCCTGTCATCCTAACTACTCAGGAGGCTGATATCTGAGGATCACGGTTCAAAGCCAGACCAGGCAGGAAACTCCATGACACTCTTATCTCCAGAACACTGGAAGTGGTGCTGTGGCTCAAGTGGTAGAGCTCTTGCCATAAGCTGAAGAGCTGAGGGACAGCACCCCGGCCAAGTTCAAGCCCCATTCTCTCCCCCCAAAAATATATTGGTTACTTAAAGTATTTTTACTTTATTTAAGGTGTTAAAAAGTTCAGTAGCTCTTGAGGTGTGTGTGTGTGTGTGTGTGTGTGTGTGTTTCGTGTGCCTGACTGCTGCTTGTTGTTCCTAACAGTGACTTGGCCTGCGTTATTGCTTTGAAATAATCAGAGAGGACACTATTTACATGAATTTTCTTTCTTTGTTTTTTATTTTTCCTGAGAAATGCAGAGGTCTGCCAGGGCCCAGTACATAATGCCCATTTCCCACAGTGAGTTCAGAGCCAGGAGAGAGGTAATCACAGAACATAGCCAGTAGAGGGCAGTGTGCTAACCCCTTGTTGGTGGGGTAGGCTGCAGTTTCTGTTGAACTCTGTGCAGCCTCTGAATGGTTGTTTTATACAGACGGTGAAGCCGTGGCGAGAAGGTAACAAAATCTGGGTGTCATGGAGCCAAACTTTCAATGTCAATATGACAAAGGAGTTATTAAAGAAAATAAATTTCCACAAGATCACCTTGAGGCTCTGGGACACCAAGGACAAGGTCTCCAAGAAAGTCAGGTACTACCGTTTGAAGACTGGTGGTTATTCAGAGGACACAGGATCTTTTGGTAAGTCTGTCTGTCATTTTTTTTTTTTTTTTGGTCAGTCGTGGGGCCTGAACTCTGGGCCTGGGTGCTGTCCCTCAGCTCTTCAGCTCAAGGCCAGCACTCTAGCACTTGAGCCACTGCACCACTTCCGGCTTTTTCTGCTTATGTGGTACTGAGGAATTGAACCGAGGGCCTCATGCATGCAAAGGCAAGCACACTACCATTGAGCCACCTTCCCAGCCCTAAGTATGTAATTTTTGTTTTGTTTAAATGATTGTGGAGTTTTGAGATTTCTCACTACAGAAGTCTGAAATGCTCTACAGTTTAAATAGCACTTTGATGCCTTTAGTGAGAAATTCCACAACTGATCTCACCTGACTAATTAAAATGAGGGCACACTAAGAATACTATGTGAAATCATTTAAGCTTGTATAAATGTGTTATACATTCAGCATAAAGAAATTTCATGTTTAGACTTGGACCTCTTTCTCAAAATGGCTCACTTACATATACAGATATTCCCGACTGAAAAAATCCCAAGCATTTTAGGTGAGAAATATTCACCTTGTGGTATTGGGGTGAAGCCAGCCTTCTTTCACATCCATCCCCTAGTTTGCCCAATATACACATTGCTTTTTGTTTTGATGGCATGCCATTCCCCTAGGCCCTTCTTGGGGAACAGGAGGTGTCTCTTGGAGAGTCATGACATGGTGGCCAGCATCTGTGGGGTTTTTTTTGTTGTTGTTGTTGTGGGGCCTGAACTCTGGGCCTGGGCACTGTCCCTCAGCTCTTCCGCTCAAGGCTAGCGCTCTACCACTTGAGCCACAGCACCACTTCTGGCTTTTTTCTGCTTATATGGTGCTGAGGAATTGAATCCAGGGCCTCATGCAGGCTAGGCAAGCACTCTACCACTGAGCCTCCTTCCCAGCCCGCATCTGTGTTCTTCTACTGCCTTTCAGGATATTTTGTCACAGGGTAGCCCTGACATGGGTGGCCATTACTCGTCTCTCTGTATTATGTCCACTAGAAAAAACACTAAGAATATCAATAAACAAAGGAGAAAAGTTGGGTTGGTGTATAGCTCAGTGTTAGAGTGCTTTGCAGGTGCTTTCTTCTGGGGGCTTTTATGCAGATAGCAGGGTGTCGAGCAGTATCCTGGGCCTTTGCTCACTGGACTTGAGTCAGCCTTCCAGCATGATAATAAACAATTCCTACATAATACTGCCAAAATTGCCCCTAGCTGTGAATCTTTTTCTTAACTAGGTGAATGGGAAGACACAGGTTCTCAAATCATGTTCTCCCTCCCCCTGACATACTCCCTTGCCTAGTGATGGGCCCACACTGGCACTCCAATATGAGTGCTGGAGAAGAGGTCAGGAAAACTTTCTGGCTAGGGAACAGTAGGGGCTATGTCTAGAAGGCTGCATGGAATCATGGGCCAAAGGAAGGAATGTTCTGGGCCCTGCAGAGAGAGCCCATGGCCTGAGTGCTCCTAAGACTACGGCACTTGCTTCTCCTCAAAGCCTGACGCTAGCTTAGCATCACTGACTATTCCTTTATGTATATCTTGACCACTAAAAGACTCATATGTATTCACTTCGTAGAACAGTTTAGAATTTGACTGGCAGAAAGCAGAAAGAATTGAAGGCATCTGATGTCTGTCTAGAATCACTGTTAGCAGCTTTCCTGTAGGTCTAGCCCACCTGTTGTCTGTAGTCCTGTCTTCTGACACCTGCTGAGATATGTTACAGACACTTGCATCTTGAAGGGTGCAGAAACACCCTCAGGAGGCCTGCTTCCTGCTATAGAGGAAGGGTTTTTGTTTGGTAGATCATGCCCTGGGGCCAGTGGTCTTGGTAGAATGTCCGTACCAGAGTTACTATTTCACTTTGCTTCCATCTGCTTAGCCTCTTGGTTTCCCAGTGCTGGGTGGAGAGGACATTCTAGAAACCCTCAGATCTGATTTTGCCCTTCCTGTGCTCTCATTGGGTTGACTCCCATCTTCCCACTTGCCTGAAGTCTGTGCTTGGCTGATGCTCTTTGGTGTTCTCTGTTATGCAGCTTCTCTTTATGCAGTCTGGCTCACTCCATTCTGGGGTTGGAGGGTGGGCAGGTGGAGTGGTGTTTCTTCCTGACACCATAGCCTGCCTTTCCCATGTTACCGCGGTGATACTGGCACTTCATTGCTCTGAGACTTCACAGCTTCCCAGTGCCTTAGAAGACCAAGTGTATCCTTCTGAGTTTGACTCTAAAGGCTTTTTATGGTTTTCTCCTCAAGGCTCTGATCCTGTGCTGCTCCTACAACTCCTGGTTCCTGAAGTTACAGGGCTCTTCTTCATTGAGGCACAATCCATATTCCAAAGGATCTTGGTTCCTATCTCTTTTTCCACAGATTTTAGCTGCCCTTCAAAACTGAATGAAATTTCACTTCCTTTCCTGGTCCCTGCCCCACACTTCTTTCTTGTAGCTACTGCTATCATCATTCATGCCTTCCATCCCCTCTTGACTGCTGCCAAGAGCCTGCAATGCCCTGTTGCTGATAGAAGGGAAGGTGGAGGGGTTAGGGAGGTGGCTCAGGGGTAGAGTGCTCACCTTGCACACATGAGGCCTGGGTTCAATTCCTCAGCACCACATAAGCAGAAAAAGTGGCCCTGTGGTTCAAGTGGTAGAGCACTAGCCTTGGGATGAAGAGTTGAGGGACAGCGCCCAGGCCCAGAGTTCAAGCCCCACAACCAGCCAAAAAAATAAAAGGGAAGGTGGTGGGTACAGGAGCTCTGGTGCAAGCCTGGCTTTGCCCCTCACTGGGGATAAATTCTGGTATGGACCAGCTCTACCACAAGAAACTCAAGCGCCAGATCCATGCATTGCCCGTAGAACAGGGACATAATGCTGTGTTCTCCCCAGCAAGACAGTGACTCCTGGGCTGGGAAAGTGGCTCAGTGGTAGAGTGCTTGCCTTGCATGCATGAGGCCCTGGGTTCGATTCCTCAGTACCACATAAGCAGAACCCCCCCCCCCCCAAAAAAAAAAAAAAAAGACAGTGACTCCTGAAAAGGTGTCATCTAAGTGCTCGGTGACTTCACTGACAGACACCACTGTCAGCTGAAAGCAGGCATTATTGCTCTTTGAGGTTCCTGGTTGGGGGCAGCTGTCCTGGAGGACAGCACCACCCCACGTTGTGGATCCACTGTCTCATGTCCACCAGAAGGCAGTGACTGCATACACCGGGGGGTCAGTAGGTATCTCTAATCCACTAAGCCGGTGGACCTTTCTCCTGCGTTCTAGAGGAAGTAAGAATGTTGGTTTTAAATCAGAAAAAAATGTCTGAAATGGATACTGAGAGAGTCAGCACTGTCAGAGAGAAGTATGATAAGGAATATCTGTCAGGAACAAAAGAAAAGGCAGAAAAACACTCACAGTCTCAACAAGGTAAGTAGACAACTGTGGGTACAACATGCATGCACCACTTTTGGCTGTTGATTCTATTCTTGTATTTTCATATGGTTTATGACTTACAAATAACCTTTTATAATGGTAGAAATTAGCTATGTATTTTTATTTTTATTTTTTTATTTTTTTTGTCGGTCGTGGGGCTTGAACTCTGGGCCTGGGCACTGTCCCTCAGCTCTTCAACTCAAGGCGAGCACTCTACCACTTGAGCTACAGCGTCACTTCCAGCTATGTATTTTTTTTTAATTTAATTTTATTTTATTTGAGAACATATTGTACAGAGGGGTTACAATTACATGGGCAGGATAATGCATACATTTCCAGCTATGTATTTTTAAAGACCCAATGAATAGTAATGAAAAGTAAAAGAAGACAGGAAAAAGAATCATTCTATCACCAATTACAATCAGCTTAACATCTTATTTACCATATTATAGCAAATTTCTCTGATTTCATTCTTGGGCTTTTTTTTTTTTTTTGTCAGTCATGAGGCTTGAACTCTGGGCCTGAGCACTGTCCCTCAACTCTTTAGCTCAAGGCAAGCGCTCTACCGCTTGAGTCACAGCACCACTTTCAGTTTTCTGGTGGTTAACTGGAAAGAAGATCTCAAGGCCTTTCCTGTCCAGGCTGGCATTGAACTGAGATCCTCAGATCTCAGCTGCCTGTGTAGCTAGGATTACAGGCATGAGCCACTGGTGCCCACTCTTAGGCTTTTTTCTTTTTTTTAACATTCTAGGTTACCCTGGATGCATTCAGTATTTCTGTATACTGAGATTATTAATGTGTCATCACAAGTACTTTCCTCTCTGCTTAAGAACTTTCTATGACAGGGCTGGGAAGTTGGCTCAGTGGTAGAGTGCTTGCCTTGCATGCCTGAGGCCCTGGGTTCGACTCCTCAGCACCACATAAGCAAAAAGAAAAAAGCCGGAAGTGGCGCTGTGGCTGAGTGGTAGAGCGCTAGCCTTGAGCTGAAGAGCTGAGGGACAGCACCCAGGCCCAGAGTTCAGGCCTCATGACTGGACCCAAAAAAAAAAAAAAGAACTTTCTATGACAGTACATTTGATGTGATCATCTTTCATCTGCAGATGGGATTGCAATTTGCCTAACCATGTTAAAGTGCTAAAGTGGACAATTCCATATGTAATAAATAAAGTCACGCAAGACTATGCTTGCTCCCATTTGTCCAACAGAATCAGTCTGGTCTGTATATATTCATTCACTTAGTTATTGTTAACGATCCTTTGAAATCATTGTTACTGAATGTGTGCCAGGCTTTCTGCCGCAGAGATGCATTAGAAATGTGTAAGGAGCCTCCTTTCTTAGAGAACTAGCATGGAACAATAGATGTGGTGACGTCTGCTAATATTACCAGGTTCCCACCAAACAGACCTTGAAATTTCTTCTAAGAACAGTGAAGAGTATGAAAAGTCACTCAAAATGGATGATCTTTCTCCATTTCGGTAAGGATGGACCATGTCATTAGGGGAGATGGGAACTCTTGTATTGGTCCTACTCTGAGTCATGTACTACTTCCTCTTCCTCTTCCTCCTCCTCCTCCTCCTCCTCCTCCTCCTCCTCCTCCTCCTCCTCCTCCTCCTCCTCCTCCTCCTCCTCCTCCACCTCCTCCTCCTCCCCTCCTCCTCCTCCTCCTCCTCCTCCTCCTCCTCTTCTTCATCATCTTCTTTTCATTATTATTATTATTTTAATTTTAGTACTTCTGGCTAAGTTGAATCCAAGCAAATGAAAGGAATAGGGAGAGAAAGGGAAGCTTATATTTGCATGGATGTGTCAAGCATTGTACTTTTAAATTTAATTTTATTATAAAAGTGGTGTACAGAGTTTTTTTAAAATTTTTTTTATTGTGAAAATACCATACAGAGGGATTACAATTACATGGGCAAGGTAATGAGTATATTTCTTATCAAGCATTGTTGCCTCCTCCTTTGTTTCCCCTTCCCATCCCTTCCTATCCCCCTACCCCCAGAGGGTTTTACAGTTACATAAGTAAGGAAATGAGCACAATTCTTGTCAAACATCATTACCCCTCCTTTGTTTTCTCTAGCTTACCCTACCCCCATTGCACTTTTTTTTTGTCTGTGGGGCTTGAACTCTGGGCCTGGGTCCTGTCACTCAACTCTTCAGCTCGAGACAAGCACTCTACCACTTGAGTCACAGCTCCACTTCTGGTTTTCTGAGTGGTTTACTGGAGTTAATAGTCTCACAGAGGGGAGTATGGGGGGGGGGAATGGGAAGGGATGGGAAGTGGAAACAAAGGAGGAGGCAACAATGCTGGATAAGAAATGTACTCATTATCTTGCCTATGTAATTGTAACTCCTCTGTATGGTATTTTCACAATTAAAAAAAAATAAAAAAGAGTCTCACAGACTTTTCCTGCCCGGGCTGGCTTTGAACCATGATCCTCAGATCTCAGCCTCCTGAATAGCTAGGATTACAGGTGTGAGCCACCAGTGCCCGGCCCCATTGTACTTTTATTGTCTCATTTGATTTATCTCGTTTGATTTCTATAATGACTATTTAAAAATAATGAAGTACTTCATCTGTATCTAACTGAATCCTGAAAGGTTGGAAAGTTATTACACATGTATTTTGTGATTCCTTTTCACATAATAGGCACATACATACCACATCACATGTCAAGCCAGGCGCCGGTGGCTCATGCCTATAATCCTAGCTACTCAGGAGGCTGAGATCTGAGGATCACGGTTCAAAGCCAGCCCAGGCAGGAAAGTCCGTGAGACTCCTATCTCCAATAAACCACTAGAAAACCAGAAGTGGCGCTGTAGCTCAAGTGGTAGAGCACTCACCTTGAGCTGAAGAGCTGAGGGACAGTGCCCAGGTCCAGAGTTCAAGCCCCATGACTGACCGGAAAAAAAAGGCCATATCATATGTCAATTTAAAATGGTCAACACAACAGAAATGCTTAACAATAGATGTATTTCCCATGAAGGAAGTTCAGTGCATGAGATGGCCTGTCCCAGTAAATGGTAAACATTAGAATTTCATTTTAGCAGTTTGATAATGACATTTAATGTTTAGTATAGTTATCATATATTTTCATAAGTTACCAATAGGTAACATGCAGAGGACTTTTTTCTTCTTGTAGGGCTTGAACTCAGGGCCTGGGCGCTGTCCCTCAGCTCTTTAGCTCAAGGCTAGTGTTCTACCACTTGAGCCACAGTGCCACTTCCGGTTTTCTGGTGGGGCTGGCTTTAAACCACAATCCTCAGATCTCAGCCTCTCTGGTAGCTAGGATTACAGGCATGAGCCCCTGGTGCCTGGCTGTACCGCTTTTTTTTTTTTAAGTTAAAATTTTCTTTACTGAAAATTAATTTTAAAAGTTAACATTACTGGAGGAAAGTCAGAATTATGATGACCTGGCAATTGCTTCCAAGGGAACAGAATTTAGAAATAGACTTCCACATTACATTTATTCTGTGCTGGTAAGGCTCACCATAATGTATGGACAGGTGTCTGCAAAGCAAAGGTCAACCCATTTGGGAGAATTTAAACAACCAGTTTCTAAATGCATGAAACACAATATTTTCTTTACAGTATTTATAAATATGTCATATAATACTGTTTCCTGTTATGTCATATACCAATATGGCATTGTACAACAAACATAATGCCATCTGATTCTTACAAAAGTGAATCACTTAAAAAAGCCAGTAAAATAAATAGTAGTACCTGCTTTTAGGCATACAGCTTGTAAAACAAGCTTACTTTCCTTTGATCGGTTTTGTATAGCAACAGACAAGTAAATATCAAACAGGAATTAAAATGGTTAAATATGCAAGAAATTGTTATTCACAGTGACATGGCTACATAGATACATTATTCTATGCTTATCCTTTCTGTTTGTTGAATTTCAAGATAAAAAGCACTTGGGTCTGGGAAGGTGGCTCAGTGGTAGAGTGCTTGCCTTGCATACATGAGGCCCTGGGTTCAATTCCTCAGCACCACATAAGCAGAAAAAGCCAGAAGTGGCGCTGTGGCTCAAGTGGTAGAGCACTAGCCTTGAGCTGAAGTGCTAAGAGACAGTGCCCAGGCCCAGAGTTCAAGCCCCACAACAACAACAAAAATGGCAGCAGGTAAATGCCCTACACTAAAAAGTAAAAACTAAAAAGTAAATGGCCTATCTCAGCTATTCAAGAAGAAATCCATATAGTTAAACAAATACAAAATTTAATCAAAAGAGCAACAAAGTCTTATATAAAAGTATGAATTTTCTATCATTTGTGTGTGTGTGTGTGTGTGTGTGTGTGTGTGTGTGTGTGTGTACCTCCCTGCAGGGAAATCATTTTCTTTAGATTTGGGTGTGAGGGCTCTGTCTTCTCAGAGTCAGTGTACAAGCAAGGAGCAGGCTCTGCACAGTGGTACTTCTCAGAGGACCATGATGCCCTGACCTCAGGCTGTGCGGATCTCTCCTGGGTGGAGTGTGTGTCTGTCTATGTAGCTGTGGGGTGCCTCAGCTCTGTGGCCAGAAGGTTCCTAGGTTTTTCACTGCTAACCTCTGGACCAGCTGTGTTTTGGGGTCTTAGCTGCCTGTAATGGTGGCCTCCAGCCAGATGAGTTTCCATTACAGTTCTTTATGGGTAAAAACAATAGCTACCAGACCCATGCCTCTTTTACTACCTAACATAGCCAGGCTTCCCAAGCCTGTCCCTTCCTGCCAGACTCTCTGTGGAGTCCTGTCAGGCACTCCTCTCCTCGACTACCTCTTATGACAGACTTACACCTGAATCTTATGGCACATTGTACTGTATCATTGAGCTGAGTTTGCCTAGTAGCAGAGTCTCCAGGGGGCTCAGAAGAGCCCCACAGTTTTTCTCTCAAGATGGTGACTTCTCTTTGTTCTCTGGGGAACTAGGAGACACAGAATGCCTTTCTTTACCAAGGCTAGGGCTTAGATCAGATAGTTGCTGACTCAAAAATTCCAGTACTAGAACCAGGGCTAGCTAGAGTTCACAGTCTGTTGGCAGACCATCTAATTTTGCCTTCTGTTTCAGTCCTCCATTTCTCTTCTCACAATCAGGGAGCCAGATACTGGCTCAGCTCTCCTTGTTGCTTTTCTCCCACTGGGGTAGTTGCTTTTAGCTTTCTGGGTCCCTTCACCTCCCTTGTGGTTTCTTGCTCCCTTCCTCTTTCTTTCTTTAGAATCTAGTTTCCTCCTTGACAACAGATTGTTCTCATTCACAGAGCCAAAATGGAGATACTTTACATCCTTCTTGCTGTAACCTCTCACAAAAATGGTTTTTGCATTGAATGTATAGGTTAATTTGGGCAGAATTGACATTAAAATTTTTTTTTTGTCAGTCATGTGGCTTAAACTCTGGGCCTGGGCACTGTCCCTGAGCTCTTCAGCTTAAGGCAAGTGCGCTACCACTTGAGCCAAAGTATCACTTATGGTTTTCTGGTGGTTTATTGAAGATAAGAGTTTCACAGCCGGGCGCCCGTGGCTCATGCCTGTAATCCTAGCTACTCAGGAGGCTGAGATCTGAGGATCTCAGTTCAAAGCCAGCCCGGACAGGAAAGTCCGAGAGACTCTTATCTCCAATAAACCACTAGAAAACTGGAAGTGGCACTGTGGCTCAAGTGGTAGAGTGCTTGCCTTGAGCTGAAGAGCTGAGGGACAGTGCTGAGGCCCAGAGTTCAAGCCCCATGACCGACAAAAAAAAAAAAAGAGTTTCACAGACTTTCCTGCCTGGGCTGACTTTGAACCACAATCCTCAGATCTTAGCTTCCTGAGTAGCTAGGATTACAGTCATGAGCCACCAGTGCCTGGCTTGACATTCATTTTGTTGTCAGGTTTCTCTGTCCATGATAATGACAAATCCTTACACTTAATTAGACCTTCCTTTTAGTTCCATTAATACAGTTAATTTTTTCCTATACATGTCATGGATAATTCCAGTAAGTGAATTTCTAGATCTCTTATACTTTTTGATACATTAAAAAAAAAACCCACAGCATGTTATTTTCCGTGAAATTTCCTATTGGTTTGTCCCTTGAAGGTGTCATGTGGTCTGCAGACTGCCTTGTCATCATCTGGGGAATTTCAGGCTTCCTCAGGTTCGTGAAGTACATATTTTATTTGTCAGGAGTCCCAGATGTTCCTCTGTATATTTAACTTGAGAATCACTGGGTAAGAGGACCATGATCACATTTTTAAAAATCTGCTGTAATTTTGTGTAGAAAATAGATTCGTACATCTGGCCCCTGCACATTTTGTGTCCCTTAACTTTTCTCTCTGGATTTTCTAGACGAAGTACTTCAAGAACAACAGCTTCTTTGGCAGGAACTGCCATGTTGGATATTAAGGAATTAATTGAGAGAACATCATTAAGTAGCTTAACAAATGTATCAGAAAAACATAAGTCTCAAAGTAAGTTAGCATGAGGGGTGTGTGTGTGTGTGTGTGTGTGTGTGTGTGTGTGTGTGTGTGTGTGTGTGTGTGTGTGTGTGTGTGTGTGTGTGTGCTATGAGTGACCTTGAACTCAAGGATTCACACTCTTGCTTAGCTTTTGCTACTCAAGGCTGGTGCTCTCCCACTTGAGCTATACCTCTAGTTCCTAGGTTGGGATTTTGAATTTTCTTCCCCACTCCCCCATTTCTTTCTTCTTTTCCTCCTCTTCCCCTTTTTTTCTTCTTCTATCAGGTTCTTACTATGTGACTCCTTGAAATTTCATAGTATAAATTTGGAAAAATCTATTGAAATTCGGGGCTGGGAAGGTGGCTCAGTGGCAGAGTGCTTGCCTTGCATGCATGAGGCCCTGGGTTCAATTCTTCAGCATCACATACGCAAAAAGAAAAAAGTCTGAAGTGGCGCTGTGGCTCAAGTGGTAGAGCGCTAGCCTTGAGTTGAAGAGCTGAGGGACAACGCCCAGGCCCAGAGTTCAGGCCCTACGACTGGACCCTCCCCCCCCCCCAAAAAAAGAAAAGAAAATCTATTAAAATTCAGGGTACTCCAATATGCTTTTTTGGCATCTGACTAAAATGGTAGCTACTATAATATACACATTCCTCTACCAACTCCACTCCACCAGTGCTGCTGGGTGTCTGATCTATAATGTTATGCCTATGGACATGAAAATCTTTGAAGTCTACTGGAAAGTTTCAGGTGAATAGTTGCCACTGTATGTGATAGCTGATGTGGCAGGGGCAGGTACGTGGTTGGTTAGAGTTAGGGAAAGACTCCCAGAATGACAAGAAATGTCTTGCTTCCTTTGTGGCATGAAAGGCACCTCACAGGTGGGGCCTGTTCCTGCAGAAGCATGTAATCTTAGTGACAGATGCTGGGGCAACAAGAGTCCTCCTTGATCTTGGCCTAGATTCCCCTTACCAGTTTTTCAGTAGTGGTCTCTAATAGGAGGTGGAAACTTGTAGAGCCATGTGGGTACCAGACATGCTTTGAAAGGGGCCTTCACATAGGGAAGTGGCTGTGAATTGGCTGTCTGCTGGATTCCCATGTTTAAGGTCTTTGAAGACAAGTCTATACTTTCACGTCAGAACACCTCTCAACTTCTTCGAGTCTCTTCTTTCCAGATTAAACAACACCATTCCTTTAAAAATGTGCTTTAGGGCTGGGAAGGTGGCTCAGTGGTAGAGCGCTTGCCTTGCATGCATGAGGCCCTGGGTTCGATTCCTCAGCACCACATAAGCAAAAGAAAAAAAGCCGGAAGTGGCGCTGTGGCTCAAGTGGTAGAGCGCTAGCCTTGAGCTGAAGAGCTGAGGGACAGCGCCCAGGCCCAGAGTTCAGGCCCCATGACTGGACCCAAAAAAAATAAATAAATAAAATAAATAAAAATGTGCTTTAAGCCGGGCACCGGTGGCTCACGCCTGTAATCCTAGTTTCTCATGAGGCTGAGATCTGAGGCTCGAGGTTCAAAGCCAGCCCAGGCAGGAAAGCCTGTGAGACCCTTATCTCCAATAAACCACCAGTAAACCGGAAGTGGCACTGTGGCTCAAGCGGTAGAGCTGAAGAGCGCAAGGACAGCACCCAAGCCCAGAGTTCAAGCCCCACGACCGACAAAAAAATAAAAAAATAAAAAAAATGCTTTAAGGCTGGGCACTGGTGGCTCACATCTGTAATTCCAGTTCCTTAGGAGACTGAGATCTCACGATTGCAGCTCAGGCAAGAAACTGTGAGATTTTGATCTCCAATTAACTACCAAAAAGCCAGAAGTGTGGCTGTGGCAAAGTGGTTGAGCTAAGTATCCGTGAGCATAAAAGCTCAGGGACAGTCCCCAGGCCTTGAGTTCAAGTCCCAGGACTGGCACACACACACAAAATATGTGTTAAGTATTTTAATGAGATTTTTTTCAAATACTTTTTATTTTGGAGTAAAGAAAGGAAAATTTCTAGAGAAATAAAACAACTATGTACACAAAGTTAAAGTGTTGAATTTTTCTATATAGTTTTTTTTTTTTTTTTTTTTTTTGTCGGTCGTGGGGCTCGAACTCTGGGCCTGGGTGTGGTCCCTCAGCTCTTCAACTCAAGGCGAGCGCTCTACCACTTGAGCTACAGCGCCACTTCCGAATTTTTCTATATTTCCCCAGTTGCTTTTTTTTTCTTTTTCTTTTGTTGATTGTGGGGTTTGAACTTAGGGCCTAGCACTGTTACTCAGCTCTTCAGCTCAAGGCTAATGCTCTACCACTTGAGCCACTTCCAGCTCCACTTCCAGGCTTTTTGCTGGTTAATTGGAGTCTCACAAACTTTCCTACCAGAGCTGGCTTTCAACCATGATTCTAAGATCTCAGCCTCCTGAATAGTTAGGATTATAGACAGCTCTTTTTTCCTTTCTTAAAGAAGATATTAGAGATATTCTATCTTTTCCTTGGAGGAGCATGCCCTTTCCTTTGTCTTGTTTGTCCGTTTATCTGTCTTTGGAAGGTAAGGGAGGGACCGAAGTGGAGGGACAAAGGGTGAACAAATGCAGCAGTGGTACTGGATGCTGTGTTGAACATGCACTATACAAGTTATGGATGGAGATTGGAGAGAAAAATGGAAGGGAGCAAGGAAAGGGATGACATTGTCCAGAAAGAAATGTACTCTTCACCTGACTTATGTAACTGTAACCCCGCTACATATCACCTTTATAATTAAAAATGTAAAAGCTTATCTTATTGAGCTTCATGCTTTAATTTTACATCTTAGGGGTCATTAAATGGCATGTTATGTGTAACTCTTCCAGATGCGGGTCTGTGGCCTATCACTTGACATAGGATCTCTTGCTCTGAACACATTATTTAACTGTTCCTCCTTGGTTTGTGCTTTGGCTAATGTCTGAGAAATCCTCCTTTATTTATTTATTTATTTTTGCCAGTAGTGGGGCCTGAACTCTGGGCCTCAGCGCTTTCCCTCAGCTCTTCAGCTCAAGGCTAGTGCTCTATGACTTGAGCCACAGCGCCACTTCTGGCTTTTTTATTTTTTCTTATGTGGTGCTGAGGAATCAAACCCAGGGCCTCAGGCATGCAAGGCAAGCACTATACTACTGAGCCACCTTCCCAGCCCTGAGAAATCCTCGTTGTTTAGATGTTAGTACAGTTTTTTTTTTTTTCAGTGGGTGTGTGTGGGGGGGGGGGTAATTTTTGTTTCTGTGTGTGTGTGTGTGTGTATGTGCACGCGTGTGCCCGTGCACGTGTGCATGTGCACGTACACACATATGCATGCGCACGCGCTACTCTTGAGATTTGTACTCAGGGCATAAGCACTATCTCTGAACTTTTGTGCTCAAGACTAGCCCTCCACCACTTGAGCTGTAGCTCCACTTCCGGCTCTTTGCTGGTTAATTGGAGAATCTCACGGACTTTTCTACCTGGGCTGTCTTTATTTTTTTATTTTTTTTTATTGTAAAGATACTATACAGAGGGTTACAGTTACATGAGTGAGGTAATGAGTACACTTCCTCTTGAACATTGTTACCCCCTCCATTGTTTTCCCCCTACCATCCCCTCCCTCCCTCCCTTCCCTGAGGTTTTTTTTTTTTTGTGATTAAGTGATTACATAATTTCCAGAATTTCACAGTATTGTGGAATAATGATGCTCATTTAAAGTCACAAGTTCATTCTAACTTTCCTGGAGCAAATTGTCTATCACAGTCTGTAACATATAACGGTGTTGACATGTTATATACCATATATGTGCTCAGCAGCATGGGGATATTTAGTAGTGTTTCAACCAGATGAGTGGGAGTTCTTTGTTTCTTAAGTCCTGTTAGTTTTGTTGTATCACCTAACATTTTGGATTTAGCATCCACTTATCAGGGAGACCATGTACCGTTTGTCTCTTCGTTCTTGGCTTACCTCGCTCAACATGATTCCTTCTAGCTCCATCCATTTCCCTGCAAATGCCATTATTTTGTCATTTCTAATGGCTGCATAATATTCCATTGTATATAGATACCACAATTTTTGGATCCATTCATCTGTGGTGGGGCATCTAGGTTGTTTCCATATCCTAGCTATTGTGAACAGTGCTGCAATAAACATGGAGGTGCACGTGTCCTTGTGTATTGGTTCCTGTTGTTCAGGGTAGATGCCTAGAAGTGGTATGACTGGGTCGTAAGGGAGGTCAATCTTTAGCTTTCTTTTTTTTTTTTTTGGTCGGCCATGGGGCTTGAACTCTGGTCCTGGGTGCTGTCCCTCAGCTCTTCAGCTCAAGGCGAGCACTCTACCACTTGAGCTACAGCGCCACTTCCGGTTTTCTGGTGGTTTATTGGAGATAGGAGTCTCACAGTCTCTCTTGCCCGGGCTGGCTTTGAACCGCGATCCTCAGATCTCAGCCTCCTGAGTAGCTAGAATTACAGGCGTGAGCCACCAGCGCCCGGCCAATCTTTAGCTTTCTGAGGACCCTCCAGTCTGCTTTCCAAAGTGGTTGTTTAAGTGTACATTCCCACCAGCAGTGTAATAGGGTTCCTCTTTCTCCACATCCCCTCCAGCATTTGTCGTTGGCTGATTTGTGGATGTGGGACATTCTGACTGGGGTAAGGTGGTATCTCAGGGTTGTCTTTATTTGCATTTCCTTCACCACCAGGGATGATGAACATTTCCTCATGTGTTTCTTTGCCATTTTTATTTCTTCATTTGAGAAGTCCCTCTTTAGTTCCCTTGCCCATTTAGTAATTGGTTTGTTAGGTTTGGGAGGGATTAGTTTCTTGAGTTCCCTGTATATACAGGATGTTAACCCCTTGTCTGATATATTGCTGGTAAATATTTTTTCCCAATTAGTTGGTTGTCTTTCTAGCTTAGTTGCGATAGATTTAGCTGTGCAGAAGCTTTTTATTTTAAGGTAGTCCCATTTGTCGAGTCTCTCTCCAACTTGTTGTGACCCTGGGACTCTGTTCAGGAAGTTCCTTCCTGTGCCTATTAGTTCAAGTGTCTCTCC